AGAAAAATATTAAAAAAAAATATTTTACATGAAAAAAATAACCAAAATACCCCTGTAAATTTTTTAGGGTATTTTGATCTTTTTAAATTTTACGGATTATTTTTTTTATATATTTTTATTAAGTGCAGCTTGATGAGAAGAATATTCACCTAAAATTTCTAAGTGATTTGAACTTGTAGAAAAAATAAATTAAAATTCAAATACTCTCGGCCATCAGATCGACCCAGATTCAATCTGGGCCATTGGGCTTATATATATATATAATATTATTTTATGTATATTATTATATATCATATTTTATTTATATAATAGATATTTATAATATAATATACTAAATATATATATTAATAGAATAAATATAAAATACAATGTATAATATACTATATTGTTTTATATAAATATATATTATATAATAAAATAAATAAAAAAATATATTATTATGTTATATATATATGTATATATATATATATATATTAAAAATAAATATAAAATACAGTATATCATATATTATAAATGTTATATATTTATATTTAAATTATTATCAATGTAAATAAAAATATAAGATATTTACCATATATCGAGGGAATTATCAAACACAAAACTATGAACTTCTTAACTTCCCAAAGAGATTATCAAACACAAAAACCATGAATTTTTTAAGTAACTTCTAATTTACAGTTCTTCAGGAACTTCCAACTTACTAATTTACAGTTCTTCCGGAGCTTCCAACTTACCGTTGATGAACTTGCTTCCGGTTATCAAAGAAGCCCTAACTATCTTTCTCCCGTCGCGTCTTTCGATGAGTTTAACTTCATAGCTTCTCTCTCTGCTTTCAATGAATTGAACTTCCTGCACCCCTCTCCTTTCAATGATTTAATTAGATGTCCTCTCTCTCACTCAATGTATTTGAATGTCTCTCATTTCAATTATTTAATTTCAAGCCACCTCTCTCTCTCTCAATGTATTTGAATTTCATGGCACCTCTCTCTCTCAATGAATTGAATTTCATGGCACTTCCTCTCTCTCTCTCTCTCTCT